ACCCGATCCAGCTGTAGTTGATGCACGAAGAAAAAAAAAATAAAGATTAGAAAACCGGTTCGGCATCCTTCGTTTCTTAAATAACCAAGGGACCTCTCAAATGTGTATAAATACATGCCGAAAAATTAAAAGATAGGTTACTTTAATGAATTAATTTTAATACGACAATATTCTTTATTTATAATTACAGTCCGTGGTACAAACTTTTATCGAATTATTAACATCTAACTGAAACTTCGTAAACAGCTTCTTCACATCATAACCGACAAATATTTTATTCACGAAAATTCTCGGAATTGGGGATTTTTCAATCTGAAGGTCGGCAAACTTTGTCTTTTTAATTAGGTACTAAAAACTCATATATACCCAGTCAAGAAAAAGCTTGGCCTTCAAAAACAGTATGTCGTTTGGCGTGGTCTACACCCCCAAATTGTCAAAATGAAAAGGTTATATAGGGTAAATGGCTCAATATTTTTGAAGGCCGCCATTTTTCTTGACTTTGTGCTCAAGTTATCTTACGATTAAAGTAGAAAGCAAATGGGTATTTACGAACTTTTAGTACCAAATTAAATAGACAAAGTTTGCCGACCTTCAGATTTAAAACGCCCCAATTCCGAGAAATTTCATAAATAAAATATTTGTAGGTTACGATGAGACACAAGCGGATTTACGGGGAGCTTTCGGGCTGAAGCCCCCCTCCCCTCCAAAATAGTAAAATGTAACCATGTTTTATGGTCAAAATAGCAAAAAAAATTATGTCTTAAAGTATTATTGCTCGTTTAATTACATTTAATAGGAGTTCAAGAATCACTTAAACACCATTTCATATAGGTAGTTAGTTTCTTTCTGTTTTTTTAAAGTAATTATCGTTATATATATGAAAAAAAAAAGTTTCCGGGCTGAAGCCTCCCCCCCCCCAAAATTAAATCCTGGATCCGCTAGTGCGATGAGATGAAGCTATTTACGAAGTTTCAATCGGATATTAATAATTTTATAAAAAAAAGATCTGTACCACAGACTAAAACGTTCTCTTTAAATTATCATACGTAGAGCTACCAAAAGTAAGCACATGCCAAGAAAAAGTATTAAAAAAATTATATTTAAAACCATTAAAGTCCCTTTAACTAGGTCTGACATTAGTACGGTAGTATAGAATATTCATTTTATTTCATTATGGATATTTCTGAAATAAGATATCTCATTTCTCGTTTCTTGTAATTGTTACTTTTACAGAAAAAAAAAATATATTCTCGTTTGGAAGTAGAGTTTCCTTGCTTAAATACAAACTCTACTTGTATTTGAAGCAAATTTTGTATAGTTTATTATAAAGCAATTTTTAATCATCTAAATTAAATATTTTTTGTTTTATCGCTTCCTATGAAAGAGAAAACGTAACCACTTTAAAAAAAAACACACAATATAATAATTTTATAAAATTTTATGGATTTAACTCTTTTTCCTTTCAAAATCGGCCCATACAAAAAATGAAATGTTTTGTTGAAAATTTTGTCTAGAATTATCTCCCAGAGTTTGACCATGAACAACTAAAACGATCTGTTTATATACAGTTTTATATATGTATGTATACATATATATATATATATATATATATATATATATATATGAATATAGCACATACATACTCTAACAGCCTAGGACAGTATTCAGTATTCCTATTCAAAGGCGATGCGGGTGCAGCTGTCGACCCATCCCTAGGTTTTTTAATCTCCTTCGCCCCCTACTATCAACTTATGGTGATAAATGGTCTGAATAACTCGATCTATGGCAGAGCACAGAAACTTGATGCTTGGTTACTGTTGAGTTATATTACAATCACGAGTGATAACCTTTACAAATCGTTCGGACAATAGTTTTGTTAACACTGTGATCTAGATCGTTTTTTGACATTACATTACAGGACATAGGCGCAGACTACGGAGGGGACGAAGTGAGCATATCTTGCCTCCCCATAAAAATGTTGAGGGGACGAGAATATCGTTTCGCCCCTCACCGAATATTTTTTTTTTTATTTATGATATTTACAACTGTATTATAAATAAAAATACATTCAGTAAATGGGAACACAATATAATAACATGAAACCACTTGTTGAGAAGCTACGCACTGGTAGCACTCTAAAAATGTATTTACAAAAGGAGATCTCGAGGCCATCTTCTTTTCAGACGCCTCGGAGGGTTGTCAGGAATCGGAGAGGAAGCAAGATTAGAAACGAGAGGGTACGGATGGTTTTGAAGTTTGTTATGGGAGCACGGGTGGATCTACGGGGGGGGGGGCTTTCAGGCTGAAGCCCCCCCCAAAATGGTAAAATATAACCATGTTTTATGGAAAAATATATTAAAAAATTATCTCTTAAAGTATTATTTTTCGTGTAATTACATTTAAAGGACTTAAGGAATCACTTAAACACCATTTCATATAGATATTTAGTTTCTTTCTTTTTTTCCAAAGTAATTATCGTCATTTTTATGAAAAAAAAAGCTTTCGGGCTGAAGCCCCCCCCAAAATTAAATTCTGGATCCGCTAGTGTATGGGAGGATAGGTATCTGGATTGGGCCAGGTCAGAAACATCAAGGTCATTATGGACGATTTTATTTGTGATAAAGTAAGGAGCAGAGAGGATTTTACGAAAGATTTGATACGAGAGGAATTCGATAACTTAGTGGAGCCCCAGAGCTCAATTTCGGAAATCCAAAAAGGTCTTATTATTGTCATATATATGATTCGTTGCCGCTGAGTCCAAATAACCAAGTCCCGCAAAATGGTCTGTGTGTGTGTGTTCACAGTCTAGCTCAAAAACGAAAAGTCGTACGGCACTTTAAGGATTTAATTTTTTTTTGGGGGGGGGGGGCTTCAGCCCGAAAGTTTTTTTTTTTCAAAAAATTACGATAATTATTTTGGAGAAAAAGAATGAAGCTAACTACCTGTATGAAATGGAGTTTAAGTGATTCCTAAAGCCCTTGTAAATGTAATTACACGAACAATAATACTTTAAGAGATACTTTTTAAATATTTTTTTCGATAAAACATGGTTATATTTTAGCATTTTGGGAGGGGGCTTCAGTCCGAAAGACCCCCTCCCCGTAGATCCGCCCGTGTCGTACGGAAGTGAAATTGCATATTTAAGGTTTTTATATACTAGTGATGTCATAGCAACTTTTTCGTTAAAATCGGCTAACCGAAAGTTGCACTTTATATAATGTACTAAACACATTTTAAATACAAGCAGTTTTAAATACAATTTGGTTATTATTCTGATTGATGTTCTCTAACAGGGCTTAAATGTCTAATTTTCTAAAGTACCTTTAATTTTTTTTTATTTAAAACAATTGACCATTTCACAATAATTGACTAATATGAAAAATGGTTAAATATAAAACATGAAAGAATTTGATGATTGACTAATGGAGAAATAAGAGATCATAACGGAGAACAGTTGTAGTTGAGGAACCAAAGGAATACGAGCGCACCCAAAAGATTAGAACACGCTTTCATACATAACATGAGCTTAATATAATACGGACTCTAACAATATTATTTAATATTTAATTGTATAGATTACAGCGATATAAATATCTACTTTGTATATATTATGGTACTTATATAAATAAAAATACCCACAATGAAATATAAATAAATATAGAGTCTATAATTTTTACTTTCACTTAGCTTTATCTGAAAATACTTATTTCTGCTAAGAGGGTGGTAAGTGAAAGTTGTGTGATGCGCGCGCAGTACCAGATTTTATATCTTTGGTTTTAATTTGCTTATGGAGATGGATTTTGTCCCATTTAGTCACCTGTGTATCGGCGGAGTTGTTTTTAAATTATCAAAAGTTTTGCAATTTTTGATAAAATACTAAGAAGTCCTAAACCTAGACGAAAATTTAGAGCAAAATATTTATATTTTAAAATTCGTACTTTTTTTAAGTTACGAAAAACGAATACCAACTTTGTTTTTCCTTTGAAACAATTTTACCCTCACTTTGTTATGCCAGGAAATTACAATACTTAAATTGGCAGATAAAAATAACTTATTGCTTTTAAGATGCCCTCACTTATAGGTAGCATTTGCTGAAGGGTTCAATTATCTGTTTTGTGTAGCGTTAAATTAATATTAAACTACTTGTAATAATAATAAAAGGCTTAACGAACCCGAAGGTTCGATGCCGATGCCATCTATTGCTGTCTATCTGCTTGACAAAGCATATTAACTTTTCAGGCATTCGTTCGCTACTTAGCCCAACAATTTGCACGCCCATTCTATACGCTACATAGCCGTTAATTCAATTATAAATGAGCTCCAAGTACAACTCGTACAATTCAGCGTTGTGTAGCCGCCTAAATTCTCCAGCTAAACCGACCTTCTTCGGTCCGAATATCCTATAGAATACATTATTTTCAAAAACCTTTAAATGTTCCTCATTTCCTTAAGGTAATAGACCACGTTTCGTATCCATGAAGAACCACAGGAAGTATAATATTTTTGTGAATTCTAACTTTTAAAAAATTCAGGGCTTACTGTATTATAGAATACGCGAGTTAAGTGATTTTGTAACCGGAAATAGTGAGTATTTACTCCTTAAATCTTGCCTTAACTTCCTCATCAACTTCGTTTTTTCTTAATATCGTAGACCCTAACTACCTGAATTTCTCAACATTTCAAACGAAATGTCTACTATATCTCCATCACTAAAATATTCGGCATTTCTGCAGCTAGCCATATTTTTTATCTTATCTGTATTTCTATCGATCCTATTTTTTTAGGAACTTTCGTCAACGATGTAGTGTTTAGCTTTATAATTTCCATCTTCATTTTCCATTAAAAAATCATTGGTAAAGCTGTGCAGGTTCTCCCAGATCAAACCTTTTCTAGTTTGATTACTGGATTAAAACTATAAAATATATTAATAAATTAAAAAAATAAACTATATGGATAAATAAAAACTATAAACTATATTTATAGAAACTTCTTTTTTCTAGATGGGCCACGTTATTGTGACATCAGTGAGCCTTCTTTGGATATTATTGACTGTTATTTCATCTCTGGCTGTATTCTATGCTTTATTCACTCCAAAATGGCTGATAGGGCCACAAAGGATATCATACGGTAATTAAAAATATACTTTTTCAGTGAACTTAAGGTATAAAATCACTTTTAAAATCTTGAAAAATCAGGGATGAAAATTAAGAAAAACTATTAATCGATAATTAAATAAATAAAAATATAAATCTGTATTCATTCCAAAATGGCTGATTGGGCCACAAAGGATATCATACTGTAATTAAAAATATACTTTTTCAGTGAACTTAAGGTATAAAATCACTTTTAAAATCTTGAAAAATCAGGGATGAAAATTAAGAAAAAACTATTCATAATTTTTAACCATTGGAAACAGTGGTTCAGTTCAACAATGGTATTGTAACCATTGATAATTGTTAAACAACTATTTAGATATATTTGTTTTGTTTTTTTATTTTTTATTCTATCTATCACTCCTCCACATAGTTATTCATAGAGTTTGAAATCGATAATGAAAAAAATAAAAATCAAAATCAAATCTGATTGGATTTTTATCTGGAATCTATTATTGAAATGTGGTCAAAGTGCCTTTTTTAAAAGAAAATATTTTGGACTGGTTTGATCAGGAAAAATTTACTTAATCGTAAAAAAAAAAAAAAAAATTGAAAAAATCATTCAAATGATTTTTCCTAAACAAATGATCACCTCCACGCCCAGTGATATAATAAAAGGCCTCTGGCCACAGATGCAAAGTACGCATACAGCGTGCATAGCCCTCTTACCTTAAAATGCCCTTGGGCAATAAAAGGAAATTGAAAATTTATGTATATATATTCATTAAGTCGTTTATATATTGTATTTTTGTATAGTAAATAAAATTCCTGGGGGGTAAGAAAAAAAAAAAAAATGATCACAAGCTCAAAAACCGATTGAGTAGTATTTTCACTTCAAAAAGGTAAAAAAAAAAAAAGTGGATTACCAACGATCTTTAAAATTGGAAAAAAAACTCCCCACCATCTGAAGAAATCGAAATGGATAAATTTTGAAAACTCGATAGTTCGCTTCCTGTTAAATTAGAAAAAAATTGTATGTATAAAATGTTAGATAATTTTAATTTGTCAAAGATTGAATACAACCATTTTTTATCTAATTCGCTCTAAAAAGGAGATATTTAGCGTAAACCAAAAATTGTTCGAAATTTCAATGGCTTTTGGAACACTGCAGCGAACCCAATAGATTTTCAAGAACGAAAACTGGGATTTTTTATATTCATAAATAACAATATAAAAAATAATTACCTAACCTTTTAAAAAGTTACATGTCTAATCTCTGCCTTAAAATTTAAGGCTTAAATTAATGATTTCTCTTTCTATTCAAAATAGGTTGGTAAGTGAAATGTGTGTGATGTGGACACCACACCGGAATTTTTTATTAATTATAGTGGTCTCATATCATACCTACGTCATTTTTAGAAATTGAAGAAAAAATCAATTTTTTGTTTTATTGGTTCAATTAAAATTTTTTCTGATGATATTATTTTAAAATGTTTAAGTTAAATAATAAAAAAAAAGGAAAAAAAAAATTGTAAAAAAAAAACAATCATTAGAAGTGGTTTAAATTGAAGCTATATTACAAAGTATATAGCTATATTTCTTTCAACTTTTTAAAAATGATAGATCTGTCTTTGATATGAGGCCAATCATATAACTTCTATTTACTACAACAATTCATTTTGTATAATTATTACTAAAAAATACTAAGATATTTCTATTAACTACTTAGGGGAAAATGGAAGTGCCGTAGCTTTGGGTCCACCTTCTGTTGGAGTATTCAACAGGTGTACCAGAATGGATGGTGAGAGGAGCTGTGGTATATTTGCTATGGATGGACTTTCGACAGATTCCAATGTATTTCCAACATTTTGGAAAATATCTCTTGTTTTCTTCACTCTTGGTATAACGGTTATGGCCTTCACTGCAATGGCTGCTTTACTCAGCTGCTGTATCCAGAGTGTCAACAAGAAGAGCATCTTCACGGTTACTGGCAGTGTTCAGGCTTTAGCTGGTATGTTTTAAAAATTGTATAATAGATTTATTTGTGAAATAATGCAGAAAATCAATTTCAACAGCTAGCATGATAACTATAACTATATGGTAATATACACTGACAGGCAAAAAATTCCACCCACTTGTTACCCATTAAGCAACCACATTGGAAAGGTTGGCTCTGGGAAAAATTACAGGCTGCATATCTTTCGTTTCTTCTTCTCCACACCCTTTCACGCCCGTCTGGAGATCGAAGAGCGAATCTTGACTCATCTGTAAAAAGTACAGCACTCCATTCGTCCATAGTCCAATGGCTGTGTTCTCGAGCAAAAGCCAGCCATGTTACTCTGTGAGTTCTGGTCAACTCTGGTCCTCTTACTGGACAAAAAGTCATTAATCCATACTCATTTAATCTTCTCTGAGCGGTACGTTAAGAAATTTTCACACCTCGAACTTCTTCGAGCTGATGAATCGCTTGAACAATGGTAAGGTGTCGGTTTCGTAAAATTCTCAAAGTCAAAAACAGGTCATCCCGTGGTTCTGTTACTCTAGGCCGTCCAGAACCGGGCCTTCTATTGTAAGAACCAGTTTTCCCGAAAACGCCTGACGGCGTCCCGTAAAGTTTGATATGGAACTCCGATGGCATTAGCTGCATATCTAATGGAATGTCCATCGTCAATAAGTGCCAAACCAAGCGCAACATCCTCAGCACTAAGAGGCATTTTTTAACTTAATATTGAAAAAATTAAAAGCCGGAGACTAAGAAATGTGCTGCAAGAAACGGCATTGAACTAATGATACTGAATAAACATTTTGATTCCATAGAAAGTGTTTACTTTGGAATCTAGAATCATTTCATTGAATTAAGGATTAAAGGTTATTGTCCTCTATATTAACATTCCTAATTGAAAACAAACAAAAAGATTACCTATTTATTCATTAAAAACAATAGACCAATCCAAAGCAGAAATATTTTTAGATGAAAATATGAAAAAATCAAGTGGGTGGAATTTTTTGCCTGTCAGTGTATATAAAACTTAAGATTATAAAGGCCAATTAATAAAAATATTGTTTAGGGCAAGCTTGGGTGCGTTCGTGTTCCTTTGGTTCCTCAATTCTCCGTTACGATCTCTTATTTCTCCTTTAGTTAATTATCAAATTTTTTCATATTTTATATTTAACCATTCTTCATATTAGAAATGGTCAATTGTTTGAAAAAAAAAAAAAAAAATTAAAGGTACTATTGAGGAAGCTAATATTGAAAATTAGCCATTTAAGCCCTCCTGATAGAGAACATCACTCAGAATAATAACCACATTTTATTTAAAACTGCTTAATTTTACATTCATATGATGAATTTAATCAAAATCCGTAGAGCGTTTTTCGAGATAATCGTAAAAATGTTTTTAGTCCATTACATGAAGTGAACTTCCGGTTAACCGATTTTGAGGAAAAAATTGCTGTAACATCCCTAGAATATAAAAACCTTAAATATGCAATTTCACTTCCGTACACACACAGACCATTTTTCCATTGAAAACTGAGATTCCAAAATTTTCACGAACCCAATACTTTCCTTTACTATATATTTCATATATAGGTAAGTGAAGGTAAAAATAAAAAGCTCATGGAAAAAAAAGGGAAAAAATATGAAATTCGCTGTATACGTGAATAATTATTTAAATTCATTTGAAGTTATTGATTATAAGTGTTTTTCAATTGTCCTTTTAAAATTCAGTTGAAACATCAAAATTTGAATGTATACTGTTCTAAACAAATGGATTTTTGTCTGTTGTTCTACTTGTTGAAGCACTGAAGACTTAATTAATCAGTAGTTTGTTAATTTAAGGTATACATTAAATCAACAAACAACTAATAGTCAAGATTTATTATCACCAATAAATCAGAGACTTTAATTTTATAATTCATAGAGGGATTATAATAATTATAAATTTCTTTTTTGACCAACAAAATACATTTTAAACTCCTATTAAACTTTAAACAATGTTTTAGATGTTTTGATGATCCAGGTCTTTTCTACATTCTTGGAATCATCATGTATTCTGCAGGATGGGGTAGTGCAAGAGTTGTAAGACTGTGTGGACCTGAATCTCAACCGTTCTACTTAGGAGACTGTTCCATAGGTAAGAAATAATTAATTTTAAACAGCTGATCACACTTTGTGACCGATTAATTTATTTAAATAATTGGACCTTATTCTAATTATTTGTAGGCTGTTGAAAGGGAGAAAATATATTTAAATATATTTAGATTTAGATAAATTTGAAAAGGATTGAGAAAGAAATAGGTGAACGAATATCAATCACGTGGAAAAAATACTGGTGTTTAAAATTTATCATGAAAGGAAATTTCCCTGAACAATTGAAGGCGAAAGTTCTTGAAACATGTATAAGCCAAGTCTCCACCTATAGAGCCCAAACATGAACCTTAACAAAGAAATACGTAAATAGCCTTCTAGTTGCTTAAAGAAAAATGGAGAGAAGTATTCTAAACATAATATTGAGTGATACAATAAGAAATGAGAAGGCAGTCAAGGACAACAAAGATTTTTATAATTTTAAAAATAAAATGGAAATGGGCTGGGCATGTTGCACAGATGGATGATCGATTTATGATGGTCACTGTTTGAAAAAAGAAGAAGAGGAAGGCAGCTAAAGAGGTGGAGAGATGATATAAAAAAAAGTATCAGACATAAACTGGATGAGAAAAGCGGATTCAAGAGGAGATTGGAAAAAATTGGGGGAGGCCTCTGCCCAATATTCGGCTAAATTCAGGAAATAGCTGTTTTTTGTATTTATTTATAGTTTTAGTTTTTAGTAATTTGTAATTTAGATTTTGTTAGTCAGTATAAACAAACTTTGTTAGTTAATTTAAAACTATGTAAAGAATCACTCCATTTTTATGAATAAAGGATTTATTTAAGGTTTGAAAAGTTATATCAATGATATGGTGAATATTTAATTAACATGTCATTTTAATCCTCTAATAATCACTCCTTAATGCATCACTGAAGTCAATTTAATATACTTTCCACAATTCACCAGAATCAAAAATGAAACCTTTAATATTTATCTTTTTTTTTCTGAGTAAACTGTCAACAAATATAAAATTTCAGTAACTATACTTACATTGCTTATTATTAGATTTATTACCTCTTCCCTAATGAACTTAAATATAATTAAACATAGTGCTTTTTATGCTTGTAGAAGTTTTGGAAATCGTTATTAAAAATTATTATTATTTTGTCAGTGAATATCAAAATTAACTGAATGAAATCAGTTAATTTCAAGTCACAAAGTACATTTCTGATGGAGCAAAACTTTTCATAACATTTTTGTGAATTGTGACCTCATTCATCAATGCAAAAACAGTTTTATTAAGTACACGATTTTCTTATTTCGCAAAGAAAAGTTCATTTAAATGACTTTTTGCAATAAGCTGGCTACATTGTTAAAAAAATAATTTTTAAGCTTTTGCCATAAAACTTGCCTTAATATATCTTATTATTTTAATTATATAACTGAATTCTTTAAAAATGTATGTAATGACTTTTAATAAAATTAAAATATCAAAGAGATAAAATGTTCTCCATAAAAAATATATATATTATAACGTATACAAGTATAAATAATTTGAAAAATTAACTTTTTTTTCAGGATGGTCAGTGTATAGTGCCATTTTTGGAATCCTACTGACATTAATCACGGCATCTTTATCAGTTTATGCAGAAAAAACAACATCAAGTGATAAAGTGAGCGAACATGTGGAAAAAGGAGAGACTTTAGTTTGTTTGTTATGAGGTAAATTAGGCAGTACTGAACTGTTTTTTCTTTGATTATATATATAATGATATATAAAAAACAAAAACTGTACCACATTACAACACATGAAGGGTTTTAAGTTCAGTACTTTGTTAGTAAGTACTGTTTTAAGGATAACGGTCGTGCACGAAGGTGAATGTGTCACAGACTTCATATATAAACTCACTGAGATACTCCCCGCCTTCAATACAATATAATTATAATAATAAAAGGCTTAGCGAACCCGAAGGTTCGATGTCGACCCCACCAATCGCTTATTATAACAATATAATTATGTAATGATAAATAGTAATGTCATATCTCAGTATCATCCTGGATCGACCAGGGACTTTGGTGCTTAATAGATCAATCGGCCCAGTAGTCATGGCGATGGCATACAACTCTGACGGATAGGTATTTTATTTTTTTATTCTCAATATAATTTTTTTTTTAATAATGAATTTGTTTATCAAAAACTTTTACAATTCCTTTTGGCATATATATTCTCAATATCATAAAACATAAAACCTCATATTTGAGAGTGGTTTCTTGATTGATTAAAACGTTTATTATCAAAAATAATATATAAAAAAAGACACAATAAAGTTAAGTATGATAATAAGAAGATAACATTACGTTGCCATAGTTCCCAGTCTCTTAGAAGAAACTAATAATCATATATTAAGTAATGATGTAGAGATGCCTCCCAACTGCCTCCCGCAGTGCCACATCCTACGCCCTGAAGACGATCTGCAAAGTGGGTCGAAACGTCGGCAAAAATTAAAATAATTAATTTATTTTAATTTTTATTTATTTGACCGCACCCTCGACTAACTCCTTCTCATATGATATATTAAGTAATTTTTTTTAGAATGATTTCAACCTACCATTTTCCGCCAGGTTATATAATTTAATACATTCAATAAGTGAAGTATAATTGTTTATAGAGTTCCCCTCTTCGCAACAAAGTTTGAATGAATTATATTATGAAATAGAGATTTACAATAAATTAACAACAAAAGTGTAATATAGAAGATGATTTCAAATAAACACCTTGATTATAAATTGTTAACCCATATTTTTTAAATTTTACTATACATATTTTTAATTTAAATAATACATACTTTCACTTGTAGATATTATATGCAGATTATAATTTATTGCATTATCAGTCTAATTTTATTTTTTTCTCCAGACAAGAAAGTGGTTATTTGCTGGGAGTTCATGCTTGCCCTCGAGTACAATGCCGTTTTCTTTAGCAAGTGGTTCCAGCTCTCTATGGACATCACGAAAACCCCACGAAGGATTTCGAGCTTTTAGGGTCGCATTGAAATCAATGTTGCTCTGAGGAGTGATAGAGCCATTGAAAGAATATGGACCATATGTAAATAAATAGCCGTCTTTCTTCAATAATTCGCCCGCTCCTTTAAATAAGCCTGTAAATGTTTAATAATTATCTCAAGTGTTAATAATACATTTAATTAATAAAATGTGTATACTACTTATATTTCTTTAATTATGTCTAATTGGTAATTTGACATGAAAATACCTTGAGTAACTTCAACTCAAACTAACATTAAACGACAAAATAAAATAAAAAAAAGATAAACTTTTTTTAAAATCTTTTTACAGTAACAAAAAAAAACCATTGACACTGCAACCCATGAAGGGTTCAATACTTTGTATGAAAATACTGTTTCTTGGTCAACGGTTGTGCAAGGAGGAAATTTGACCGAGATCAAGCACAACCACAGGGTTTCCTACCTTAATTATTTAATTTAGGGATCTCACTTTATAAAGGTTGAATGTGTCCTAGAAGTATTTGTGATTTATTTTTATGAAATTATAATTATAATAAATGTAGCTTATTGGCTTTTTCCAATACACAGACAACATTTTTTTATCACTAATTATATTTTATTCAACCAACAAAAATGTATACAGAAACATCGCATTTTATTGCCAAAATATTTTTTTTTTAATTTTAATTTTTCAGTGAAAAAACCTGAAGTAAGATATTTTTTTTTACTATTGAAAATTTTAGGCCACTTCCAAACAAACTCACAATTTATATTTATATCATATAATAAGTATTTATCTAACTATAATTAGTAAATTTAAAAATCAAGTTTGAGGAAAATCAAATGTTTGATGCTTCTTATATATTTATATATATATATATATATATACCTAATATAGTTAGGTAAATACTCTTTGTAAGATGTTAAATATTTGGTACATTTTATAAAAAAAAAGTGAAGGAAAAGTTAGCAGCACATTTATTTTAATGGATTACAGTAGAGGGTTAATATTCCTGGAATGCTACAAAATACTGGAATAAAATTTTCGTTGAAAACATGTATAAAATATTTAAAATCAAAAATAAAACCTTGAGGTTATAATAAGGTTACATCCAGGAAACCCCAAGGAACAAAGAAACAATGATTTCCATCGACGAGTTTAAGAACGCTGTGATGGATTTCCCATGCCATCGATGAACTTGCTGAATTCAGGACGTCCTTAATGTAGACAAAATGAATTATTATTGTTCCATGAACATTGACTGAATAACTACGAAGTTCTCTTGTTACCGATATCAGATGAAAAACAAGAAATAAAAATACTAGCCTAGAGGAAAAAACGTATAAATAGTTGTATTTCTCATAGTTTGATGAATGTCTAAACGCACCTTTATATATTAATAATAATAATAATAATAATAATAATAATAAGGCTTAGCGAACCCGAAGGTCCGATGCCGACACCACCAATCGCTTGTTACACACCTCCCTCCACCGTTCGCCGTCCAAACCCAGTCCCTTCAGATCGGCTTTAATGCAATCTTCCCACCTTCGCTTCGGTCTACCCTCGGACGCTTACCATTCGGCACAGCAAATATTAACCTTTTAGGAATTCTCTCGTTACTAAGCCCAACAACTTTACAAGCCCATTTGATTCGCCGCGATGAAATTACATCAATTATATTACCCGGATACATCTCACGCAATTCGGCGTTGTGTAACCGTCTGAACTCTCCGGTTAACTCATCCTTTTTCGGTCCGAATATTCTACGCAATACTTTATTTTCAAAAACCTTAAGACGCTGCTCATCCCTTAATGTAAGCGGCCAAGTTTCGCATCCATAAAGAACTGTAGGCAAGATAATTGTTTTATAGATTCTAATTTTTAAGTTTCGGGACAAGAGGCGCGAACTAAGTAGTTTTGTCACAGAAAAATAACAAGCATTCCCCGCCTTCAGTCTAACCTTAATCTCTTCTTCAATTTCGTTTTTTCTAGTTATCGTAGAACCTAGATACCTAAATTTATCTACCTGTTCAAACATATTACCATCTATATCGATATCACCAGTAGTATTGCCATTTTTGCAGCTAACCATATATTTTGTTTTATCCACGTTTATTTCGAGTCCTAGTTCTTTCCCGGCTTTCATTAACGTTGTCGTATTAAGTTTTATAGTTTCAACGTCTTCGCTTAACAGTACCAGATCATCAGCATAGCCCAGCACGGATGTTGTCCCTCCCAGATCCAACCCTTTGTCGGTTCGCATTACCTCCCTAATGGCATGTTCTAATGCCAAATTGAACAGGACAGGCGAAAGAGAATCCCCCTGTTTTAAGCCCGAACGAACCTCAAATTTTTCGGACAAATTATTACCGATTCTAACTTTATTGAGTGTCTCCGTCAAGCACATCCTGACTAGATTTACTAGTTTTTTTGGAATCCCCTGCTCGATTAGAATATTATACAGTTTCTGGCGGTCAATAGAATCGTAAGCCTTTTTAAAATCTATATACAGCTGGTGAACAATACCGTTATACTCCAATTTTTTCTCTAATATTTGCCGTAAAGAAAATATTTGATCAATAGTCGAACGATTCCGTCTAAATCCGCATTGGTAGTCTCCGATAATTTCCTCGGCGTATTCCGTGATTCGACTGGTTAAGATTAAAGTGAATATTTTATAACACACCGGAAGGAGTGAAATTCCTCGATAGTTATTACAATCCGTCCTCGGACCCTTTTTGTGAATCGGTATAAGAATAGATTCTTTCCATTCTTCAGGTAATTTCTCGTTCACCCAGATCTTTTTAACCAACCGATGTATTTTAGAAACTCCAGCTTCTCCGCATGCCTTAATTAGTTCAGTAGGAATATTATCGATTCCCGCTGCTTTATATGATTCCATATGAAATTTTTATATGAAATTCCATTTCCGATAGCTACTTCAACTTCCTCTTTACTTGGTCCTTCTATTAACGGTTCAGCACTCTGGTACTCAGAAGGAGGACACAGATCATAATTTCCCGTATTTAAAATATTGTCAAAGTGGTCCTTAAACTTATTCAATATGTCAGCCGGATCGGTCAGAATATTGTTATTATCATCCCTAATTCCAGACGTTACGGGCCCTACATATTTTCGTGATCTGTTTATACCTTTGTACATATCTCTTACGTTATTTTCGATTCTGTTAGTTTCTATTTCAATTATTTTATTTTTAAGATACTCCCTTTTTTTATTTTTGAGCAATTTTGTCGTTTCGTTCTTTGAGATTCGGAAGTATTCCAGATTGTCTTCGCTAGGATTATTTAGAGCTTTTAATTTAGCGGCTTTTCTTTTTTCACACATGTTTAAGCAATCTTCATCAAACCACGGTTTGTTATTCTTATTTTCCTTTTTTCCTAGACACGAGTTACCGACCGCTTTAATATTATCCCTGATCTCTATCCATAACTTGTCAATATCCTCGTGGTCCTCGTCAGGAAGCTCTAAAGCTTCAAACCTATTCTTAACTTCTAGCTCGAATTGGTTTCTAATTGATGGATTTTTTAATTTTTCCAAATTAAAATTCTCAAAATCGAAACGGTTTTCTTTTCTCTTTTTTATATTAAGTTTTTGTCGAAGTTTCGCGATTACTAATTCATGATCCGACCCACATTCTGCTCCGCGATAAGACCGTACATTAATTATACTGCTTTGCCAGCTGTGTTGTATCAAGACATGATCGATTTGATTTCGTGTTTGCGAATCCGGTGATGTCCAAGTATATTTATGAATATCCTTATGTTTAAACGTCGTACTTTTAATTATCAGGTTTTTCGAGATGGCAAAGTTTATCAGACGGATCCCATTATCATTACTATATTCGTGCAAACTTTCTTTACCAATCGTCGGAATGTAAACTTCTTCCCTTCCTACCTTTGCGTTCGCGTCACCTACAATTATTTTCATGTAGTTTCGTGGTAGTTTATCATAAACCCATTCGAGTTTATCGTAAAATTCACTTTTGACTTCATCGTCACTGTCTTCGGTCGGACAATGTATGTTTATTAGTGCGATTTTAAACCAACGTCCCTGAAATGTAGCTACCGAAATTCTATCACTAAAGAATTGTACATCCCTCAAAGCGGATAGTAATCTACGCCTAATTAGAAACCCGGTACCTAAACAATGATTCTCGCTTCCTCCGTACCAAATAGTGTACTTCCCTTCCCTCATCGAGCCCTCCCCTGGCCAGCGAACCTCTTGCAGAGCCACGACATCCAAATTGTACCCATTTACCTCATTCGCGACCGATTTTAGCCCCCCTGCTGTGTTTAAACTCCTTACGTTCCACGTACCAATATTTAAATCCCTATATTTCAACTTGCGCCATGAATCCCCTAAAGCAGTCCCCACCCGGAGACCCGAACGGGGGACTAGTTTACTTCCGGATAATGAGCGTTTTACCTTAGGGAGATCCATGACTTTTTGTGGTGTTTGGTGAACTAAAGATATGTGAGTAGGGCGTTCAATCCTACGTCACACCCTCCAGCAAGTCTGGTGGGCCCCTACCTCCAGCAAGTCTGGAGGTCCCCTCCCTCCAGCAAGTCTGGAGGGCCCCTCTCATTGTTGGTCAGCGAGTCCATCGGACTTAGCCGGGAGGAACTTCCAAGAAATTTCCACCGACCATCCCCACATCCGCCACCCGTGGGACGCTCCCCATACGCGGTAATGAGCCCGCGCGAGGACCTTTATGTATTATATTATTGAAATAAAGAAGTTAATATTTTGTATTTAGCATTATTCCATCATTTTATGTATATATTTTTAAACGTTTATTTCCTAAATGTTTAAGTTAGGGTTTGTCAGAACATCCACATTAATCCACACCTGGTTATTATTTACTGTTGTTGTTATGTACATTTGTACCACTGAAAATTAGGAAGGGTCCCAGATTCAATTTTTGGTACAGAGATACTCCAAAAGGGGGTTTCAGGGCTCGAGTTGCGACATTAAAATCTTATAAAAATATAAGGATATAAAATATATTTTAATCTAAATAATATCAGAAAACAAAATAATCAGAACTAACCTTCTGAACATGCCCATTCCGAAATATGCACTAGATTAATGTTTAAAATGTAGTCCACTGATCCTGATTTAAGAGTTCCGTCAAGCCAGTTATCTAAAGGTTCCCTCGCATCCAAAAACTGTGTCTTTTTGATATTGCCATTCGAGTAGTCAGCTATATATTCATTTATACTCTTCAGTGAAGAAATTTCCATTTCAGTTGGTTGGAAAGTAATATTAGGAAAATTGGGAGCGAAATGAGTAACATGTTGACCAGAACCTGATGATATCTCCAAAAGGTAACCCTTTTTATTTACGTCTATGTACTTTTTAAGCGCCTGAAGTATAGGCTCCTTGTTTCTTTCAGCTGCTGGATGACAATGTTTAATAGAAGGTTGCGATCCAAGGCTGGAAATAATTAAACTAATTTATAGTTTCATTAAATTACAATGAAATTTTCATTAAAAATACCTTGAAGCATTTAGAGTTGTTCCAAGAACTGTTTGAGAGTACATTTATTTTTTAGCGCCCTACTTGTCATTGCTGCCATACGCAGCAGTGAGTTAATACGTTGGGGTTCTCGTATGCCCACTGCTGCCAATGAACAACACTTTATTAATCATCATTATTTATTTTTACAATAATAGAAGGTAATTTTATTTTATTTTTGGAACAATAACTGAGTAATTTAGGAAACACGTCTGAGCACCTTATATAGTCATAGTTATGTTGCTTGCATCTTTAGTTTTCTACTCCCTGGGGGATACACTTGCCCTACAAAGAGTAAAGTGTGAAGAGCCCACCAGCTCTTTCTACCCGTATACATATTCACGGAAGAATGGATAATTTTCTTTTTCGACAAGGCGGGGGAAATCAGCCTCCATGAGCTTGAACGGCGTCCCACCATCTCTGTGCAGGATACTTGGATGTGTTTGAGATTACCGTATCAGTAATGCCCTGGGGACAGAGATGGAAAATGATAACTGGAATATGATACTAGTAATAGTACTTTATTCTCGGCCTATTATAAGTTATATTTTCATGTACCAAATGCCCAGAGCTAAATATATACATTATATTGATATATGTATACATGTTTGGAAAATTTGAGTTTACTATTCAAAAAGTTAACTGTATACGATTTTCCGCTATATCAGTGAAACTATGCGTTCTAACAATAATAATGTTCCTTTAAAATTAAAGCTGATGAAACTTACAACAGAATTGATTATATTAATTTTTTCGCTATCTTGTAGGTTCAGAGAAATCCCTAGTTTCCAGAAAAAAAATAATTGTTTCGCATTTTTATCATTATTTGACAAGATCTTTATCTTTTCATTTTTTTTTTTTCTTTTGCCATTACAGACCATGTAGATCTTTTGCCGTCTTAACAAGCCGGCTCCATCTTTTTCTGTCTTAGGCTATTTCTTTCCATTTATCTGCACGCAGCTCTATTGCGTCTCGGTTGATTCTATATATCCATCTGCTTTTTCGCTTTCCACGAGGTATTTCACCTTCTATTGAGGCATTCATTGTTATGTAGAGGCTTCCAGATAAATTGTTATGAGCTACATACCCCGCTCATCTTAACCTCCGTGCCTTCATATTATGGTATATTGATTGATCAGTTTCTGTAAGCTGTTCTTTACTGGTCTTCTTCTCCAGGTGTCAGCACTCTGATCCCAGATCGCTCCGGTTATCGTGCGGAGGATTTTTCTCTCAAATCTTTAAAACTTTTTTCTAGGGTGCTGGTTAGTGTCCAGGTCTCATAGCCATATATTAGAATTGACTTTATCATTGCATTTTACACCCTTAATTTGTTATTTTTTCGGGATTTAAGTTTGAAATCTCCCTTTGATTTTTTCTATTTTTGGGAATGATTTTTCTTCTACGCAGATCCTGTTATTGGAGTGGAGTTTTCGGCTTATTATCATATATTTTGTTTTGTCTTCATTTACTTGTAGGCCAATCAGCTCTGCCTCTCTTAACAATCTTAGCGAGTTTTTCAATTTATCTTTTCATTTATCATAGTTAAAATCCCGCAAAAATATGTCTTCTTAAAAATCTTTGCTATATGCACCTTGCATTCTCCTACTGGGGAACTGTGCTTGTCGCCAGGTATCGACATCTTGGACGCCGCGAGTCCTGGACGGTGACCGAATTTCTTAGAGGGTTATTCCGACGGAATCTAAGACTAATAATACGAAAAATCAGAAAAAATACAGACATCTTATTGTTGAGGGTCGCGTCGCTCAAATGTAAACATAAATAAAACTAAATAATGAATATAACATACAATTCCATATGTGGTCGATTGTCTTTTGCAAGGATACATTGAATATAAAATTAAACTACTAGTAATAATTAAATACTTACTTGCAATGAAAATTATCAAATTTAATAAAATATATTTGAAAAATAGAATTACTTACTTAAGATATGACACATGAGAAGACATGTTTTCAGAAAATTCTCACTACCAACACTTAATATATATATAGAACCACAACAATTATGAAATATTATCTAATGTAAACATTAGATAATTGACAAAGAGATAAAAAGGTTTTAAAACCGATCAAATCCACGAGTAATTATCGAAAAACCAAACCATAATTGGAATAATTATAAAGGTTTGGATGTGAGTAGTGGATTATATTAATAATTGTTGTTATTACATTTCTCTTTTTTATAAGAGTCTCAATCATAAATTGTAATGAGAAACACTTTATCAACCCGACATATCATTCTTATTGGAACACTTATTATTTTCGAGTATGAATTAAAACACAGAAAATTAGCACATAATGGTCAATTGAGTGGCCTCATATCAGATACGGACATCTTTCATTTTCAGAAATTGGAGAAAAAGTCAATTTTTGTTTTATTGGTTCAACTCAAATTGTTTCTAGTGATTTTATTTAAGAATGTTCAAGTTGAATTATGAAGATAAATCAGTAGAATTAATATAAAATGAAGCCATGCTAAAAAATCTGGTGCACGCAACACACAGCTTTTACTTACCACTGTACTTTGAAGGTAAATTACTTTCTGGCAATGTTGGGCTATTATACAAATCTTGAAGAACATTTTAAACGGAGCTAAAGCTTAAAGTTTACAAATAACAAATGATTATGACCATTAAAATAACAAAAACTGTATTTATTATATCGACTGTAGGCAATAAAAATCTCGTTACTCCATCTGCTTTTATAAACCACATAAGTTCAGTCTCCGAGTATGTGTGCCTTTTAGTTGACAGAATGACCAACTCCAATTTCAACATTTTTGAGTAATGCCATTTTAGTGATATTTCTAGTTGGAAAAGTTATATCTAAACAGACAGTGAGTAAGTTTATTCCAGAGTAGGTGATTGCAGTGTTGAAATATAGAACGGTGAATAAAGATATAAAAAATGTTGAAATTAGAGTTAGCCATACTGTCAACTGAAAGGATCATATATGCCTATAGAAATTTACTAAAACGAAATTTTCATTAGCTGTCATAGATAGGTCAAAATTTGTCACATTAATTGTAAGTGGATATTGATGGGATTTCACAAAATCAAATAATTCTCTAATTTAATTTTCTAAAAGGTAACATGATGATTTTACGGAATAAACAGACGATAGATACCTAATTAATTAAATATAATATCAGATCTAGAGTTATTAAACCACAGAAAATTTATTTAAGGTTATAAACATATCAATGAAAATTGTTTATTCTTTAACACAAATGCAATTAAATAGTATTCTAAACAATGCCATTGACTTGATTCGGTGGATTTTAAATACTTTTTTTTTCAAACTTAAACAAATTTTTAAAAATTTACATTTAGTAAGCAAATTATTTAATTTCCTTACTAAATGAAAATCTGCAATTTTCATCACTCTCTGTTACCTTCTACCACAGGCAGATCTACGGGGGGCTTTCGGGCTGAAGACAACTCCCCCCCCCCAAAAAATGGTAAAATATAACCATGTTTTACAGAAAAAAATATTAAAAACTATCTCTTAAAGTATTCTTGTTCGTTTAATTACATTTAATAGGACTTCGAGAACCACTTAAATACTATTTCATATAGGTAGTTAATTTCTTTCTTTTTTTTCAAATTAATTATCGTTATATGTATATGAAAAAAAAATCTTTCGGGCTGAAGCTCCCCCCCAAAATTAAATCCTGGATCCGCTAGTGCCTTCTACTACTTTCTATATATATATATATATATATATATATTTATATTTTAAGTTCTCCGTTTAAGCTTTCCTCTTAGTATAAGCTTTCCAACGACATTATATGTATACCTTCTGACCATTATTTCCGGAGATTCATTTTCGATCTCGATAAGCATTCTTCTTTATTTCTCCATTATTTAATTATCAAATTCTTTCAAAAGTTATATTTAGCATTTTTTTGCAACTCCTTACAATGAGAGACAGTTAATTATTTTACATAAAAGGTATTTTAGAAAAAGATATATTGAACAGTGGGCACTTAAGTCCTGTAAGGTGACATCAATGTGGATAGGACTTACATGATATTAAATACCACGTAATAATAAACCGAATTACCGAGTTTAATCAAAATAGTTTAAGCCGTTTTCAAGAAAATGGTCAGCAACTGCCGAAAAAGTTGCTGTAACATTCCAGCCATATCCAAACCTTAAATACGCAGTTATAGTTTCGTACGACTTTTCGTTTTTGAGCTAGGCTGTTCACATACTCACAGACCATTTTATGAGACTAGGTTATTTGGACTCAGGGGACCACAAAACGAGTATTTCCGTTGAAAACTCGTATTAAAACAATTTCACTATCTTAATACTTTCCTTTAATATATATATATATTCCATACATAGGAAAGTGAAAGTAAAAAATTGTATTTTTCTTAACTTTTTAAAAATGATAAGACGCCCGTCTTTGAAAAAGCAGTGGTTTTTAGTCTTAAAAAAAAAAAAAAAATAGTAAAAGTTATTTAGCCTCGTATTCGGCGTCAACCACAAACGGATCCAGGATTTAAGTATTTTTGAGGAGGAGGCTAAAGCCCGAAATTTTGTATTTTGTATTTTTGTATTTTGTATGTAAAGCCCGAAATTATGTGTGTGAGTGTGTGTGTGTATGTAATGATAATTACTTCGGAAGAAAAAGAAAGAAACTATATGAAATGGTGTATTAGTGATTCTTGAAGACCTATTTAATGCAATTACACTAGTAGCAATACTTTTAGGGATAATTTTTTAATATTTTTTTTCATAGGATATGGCTATATTTTACCATTTTTTTTTTGGGAAGGAGAAGAGGGGACAGAAAAAAAGAAGAAATAAATTAACTACCTATATGAAATGGTGTTTAAGTGGTTCCTGAAGTCCTATTAAATGTAGTTAAACGAAAAAGAATACTTTAAGA